TTTTTTAAAAAAAATAGAAATGTATACTTGAAATTAAAAAGCATAACCATTAATCAAACTTGCAAAAGAACTGTAATTTTTACCTATGCAGTTCAACACCCTACTGCAGGCAGAGAAACCTCTCCATTTTTTTATCATTATTTTCTCTCCACCACCTATAAATCAAAACCATTGATATTTGAGAAAATGACAATAAAATCCTTTTGAAATATATAAATAACAATTTGGTCCCTCAAAATGTCATAATTTTCCAAAATCCTTAGGGCCTTTTTTTATCATTAATGAATTTATATAAACTACCAAATTATCCTTGTTAAAAATAAATAATTTATAAGTTTTGTTTAAATATTCACAACTTTCCTTTTTATATTTGCAATAATGCAATAGCAAATTACAACTTCGCATGTTAAATTTCTTATTTGCTGTTGCATTGTTATGAATATAAGAATGAAACTTGTGAATATTTAAACAAAGCTTGTGAATTATTTATTTTCAACAAAGGTAATTTGGTAATTTACATAAATTCATTAATAACAAAAAAGTTTTTAGGGACTTCAGGAGAATTATGACATTTCAAGAGACTAAATTATCATTTATATATTTTAGAGGGATTTTATTATCATTTTCCCTTAATATTATGAATATGTTTTAATAATAGATTTAATAAATGATTATGATTAGGAAAATCTAAGGGAAAAAGATGATAAACAAATAAAAAGGTTCCCCACCCACGCACGCTACACATGTGATTAGAGCTGTCAATTAGAGCTGAGCCCATCGGGCCAACCCTTTTAAGCCTGAAAATAACTAGAACCGAGCCTCTATTTTAGAAAAAAAATGGTAATTCAGGCTTAAAAGGCCTGCCTTTTTTAAGCTCAAAAATAAAAAGGCTAGCCCTTTAGGGCTAGGACCACCTCTTTTAAGTTCTTTTATTATTTTTTTAAATTATAATATAAAAAATAGAAGATTAAATATATAATTAAAAGAAATGAACATATTAGACTCATTCATCCTTCTTTTATTCATTCATTAAGATTTAGCTAATAATGTTAGCTAAATGTAATTTTTATTGGTATTAATTTTGATATTACTATTTGATATTAGACTTGAATATTTAAGTTTTTTTTATTTGTTGTCATGTAAATTGATTTAAATTTATTTTCTTAAACTTAATTTTTTGTATAATAACTTTTTTAGGATTATAAATATATTTTTTAGAATTTTAAATTGAAAAAAGCAAAAAAAAAAAGGGTCGAGGCCCTAAGGACTAGAGTCAAGCCTTAAAAAAGGGATCTCTAAAATATAATAAGGCTTATTAGAGCCAGTCCGTTTAAACCTTAACCTTTTAAGAGTTAGGCTAACCCTAATTGATAACTCTATGTACAATCTACCTTCCTTGCGTGCCTTTTATAGAAAAGACACACCTTATTCACCTTTTGATGGATATTGAGATGGTATCTAGATTAAGCCTTCTTTATTACTTCCCTCCCTTCTTTTTCAACTATTTTTTTAATGTAAATATAGATTTTTAATATTTACAAATTTTTATACTCCTATTTATTTATCTATATTTTTCAAAAAAAATTATTTTTTTTTTACTTTAGATTTTGCAAGCCTCTTAGAAGTCTAATATTTTGTTGTTTTCTTATACAATGAATAAGTAGTGGAGAGAAAATAATGATAAGATCTTACCAACTGCAAATTTAGAATGATTATTAAGATCTATAATAACTTCTTTGCTTCTAGCTATCCAATTCCATTTATCTACAAACCCTATCATATTTAAAAAAAAATTATCATCAACAGCTAATGATAATTTTTAAATTTTCCATGTTAATATTATTATATACTAATAAAATGATATTTCACAAGTAAAAAAATTATTTCTTTTCATTTTATAACTTTAATCTTCAAATAATAGTTTACAAATTGTCACGTATAATAATATAAGATATAAAATTAAAAATAATATCTCAAGTTAATCCTAGCTGGTTTAACCACGATTCAATCATGGCCTGATTATTGATCTCTCAAATTAGTGCCTTGCTTGGTTTAAAACTATAATGAATAAGTAGTGAACAATAATATTAAATGACAAATATAATTAAATTGGAGTACTCTTTTCACCCCAATTTATAAGATATTTTTAGATAAAATTACACAAATGAATAAAGTTCATCAAATACATTTTATAATATTATTTTTTAAGACAAAAATATAAATTTCTAAAAATGTCTCTTTATTGCATACTCTATTTGGAAAAGAATATTAGAAAGAGAATATAATAGGAAGGATAATAAAAAAATTTTTATTAATAAAACGTTATTTTGTCAAAATATCTTATATTTATAAACATTGAATTTTCATCTAAAGTATCTTATAAATTAGGATGGAGGAAGTATTATTCTAGCCTTTAGCTTATTATTCACTTCGATGTGCGGCTGGTGCTGGAGAAGGTCGAATTGCAATTAAAACTTATGTATGACAAAGCAAAGTTGAAGAAGTATTCGATCGTTGTGGAAGTTTCTTTCGATAAGAACAAGTTCATAGTATTCCAATAACATAAAAAAAGTCAATTCTTTGAAAGTTAACTTTTTTTTTCCCCCTATTAGGTGTAAAATTCCCACAGTTTTTCAGAACGGATTACAAATTATTATCGAAGGCTTTACGACAGATGCATTATAACTTCACGTGATTCCCACCCCAAATAATGACAAAACATTTTGATGATGATAATAATAACAATAATTAACAAATGATGAAAGCCCAGAATTGTCAAATACAGAGTCAAATGTTTTTTTTTTAAAAAAAAGACACCAAAGACAATTTGAACAGCGTTACTGTAACTGAATGGCAAAAAACACCAGTTTATTCTTCTCATTGACATTTCAACAATAACATAACAGTTGTTCATCAAATATATTTCTTTCGTTTTCATTCCTATTCTCAAAGATTAAATAACTACCTTTTTATTGAAAAACTAAACAAGAAAAAAAAAATCACAACAAAACAATTACACAATAAGAAAAATACAAACTTTGGGGATAGAAACAAAAATTGGTGGTGCTTGTCTTAATAGCATTTTGGCATGTCTAATGGTGGTGGTAACATCTGCTCATGTGAATTTTTACCATTCTTCACAATGAAAGTCATAATAGCCATTCCCCATGTCACATGACGTTCTAAATGGCCATGCATATACCATACACCTGCAAAAAAAAAAAAATAGAGTAAATTATATAATTTTTCATGAATTTTGTTATAATAATAAGAGATCTATCTTATGCTATCAAAATCAATATATATATGTATTAATTTTACCAATATTACAAGAACTATCATCTATTTCCTTCTCTTTTTAGTGGTACTCAATTTTTTTCTCAATAGATGTGACAAATTTGATACAATTATTTGAAAGAAACTCAGGTACACCTGTGTAATGTCTTCATTTTCAGGATAGCTTTGTATGATTTTTGAAAATAAAAAGGGAGGCCTATGAAAATTAGAAAAATTAAAAAATGATCAAAATAATTTCAACAATATTAAGGCGAAATGTGTGCAATCTACCAAAAAAAAAAATAAACCACTAGAAAATTAAGGCATTAAATTTAAGAATGCAACATATCCATACCCGGGTTGTTGGCCCTGAATCTTATGGTGACCCAATCATTTTTTGGGAATAGCTATAGTATTTTGATAGGGAGGATCAACAAGATTATAGTCTGAAGGATCCTTGTCTTTGTTAAAGTTCCCAAATCCCCATCCGACCACATAGAAACTATGTCCATGGAGATGCATGGGGTGTTCTGTCCCAGCTCTCAAGTTAGTCCCTTGAAGAACAATTTCCACTGTGGAGTTATACTCAAGAACCTTCACTTCTGTAGCCACACTTGGAGTCTCCAAGAACCTAGGTAAATTTTCAGCAGTGAAATTGAAAAACAATGGAGGCACATCTGGGAAATTTTCCTCATAAACACCAGTAATGTTGTTGTAGTAAGCCTGCAAAATGTTACTGTTTGAAGGCAACTTTAAGCTTATATTGTTCATGCTGGAAGAAAGACGTGTCGCGTTGTCACAAGTCAAGCATGGCAAAGAATTAACAGATTCCGTGAAGAACAAACTTGTACTTATCTCTAATGGCACATCAATAGGGTGGTTTTGATCTGCTAAACTTCTGAGTTGGCTTATGAGGTTGATGGAGGCATTGGTGTCATTGGAGGCTGGAAGGGAAGGTAAGGAAGGTGAAGATAATGATGGAATATGGTTTTTTCCCTTGTACTGAAGAATAGAAGTGGTCATGGTGAATCAAATGAAACACCAGAGGCACTGGAATAAGGTGAAGAAGCCATGTAATAGCGATCTGATGGCCCGTTCGCTTCGAGTAAGACGTCCATGGTTTTGTGTAGCTCCCATCTGTTCCGACCACTGTGAGTTTGTGAGTTGCAACGGCGATGAATTGATTGTTTTCAACAGCAGCATTGACTATTTGGAGAAGATAGGTTTTGCCATACTCTACCATGAGCTTGAAAGTTCCTCTATACATTGAATACATTCAAATATGTGATTCCACTATATATATTTGGAAAAACATACTATTTGTCTCATAGAATGAATGGATGATGAAGAAAACTTTTAAGAGATAGCATTTGGACTGATGGATTTGAAGAATTTGGATTTTAGACTTGAAATCTCATATTTCAAATCTCACATGTAAAATCCAGACATTTAAAATCCTTTGTTTGGCTAGTTTTAAAAACTTCAAATGAAGATAGATGAGTTGGGATTTGAAATGAAAATGAAAAATTGAGAATGATAAGTTTATCTCTATTCTTTAATCCACAAAAGATAAGAAAAGATATAAAAATCATAACAGTATCAATAGTGACAATATGAAGAAAACAAGATATTTGAAGTAGCTAGAATTTTAAATGAGTAGGATGTAGAGAGAATTTAAAATTTACAAATAAATTATATATAAGAAGAAATGGAATTTCTGTGATAACCCATAAATTTTAAGTAAAATTAAGTATATAAGTTTGTATTTTAATACTGATTATATTAATTCTTAGAACAAATATGACAATATGGAGTATTGGTGTAGTGGAAGAATGCATATACATCAACCATCAGGTCCCAAGTTCGAATCTGAACAAGGCCATAGGGAGTTTTATTTTTTTTTTTCTGCCACTGTAGGAAATTACCAAATTATCCTCATCCTGATCAGATTTTTTTTTCTCTCTCTCTCTTTTATTCTTGTCTTCTTCGAGTCTTCTAGAGCAGAGGCAGAGTTAAGAGTCCGCACCAAACCCTTGCACTGCCTCTCATCGATCTCCGCACCCTCCTTCTCAACCACTGGCTACGTCGCTGTTCGTGTGGGTCGCTATCATCGGTGGCTTATCGCTGTTCTTCTGCCACTGCTGCGAATTCTTCCCCTGTCTCACAGTCGTTCCTCTGTCTCTGTCATTGTTTCAAGTATGCTGAATCTCTTTCTTTTTCCTTGTTGCTTCGTTGTGTGCAAAGGCTTGGGTGAGCTGAGATTTATTTTGCTTCTTGTTCATTTTATTATCATCGGTATGCTCATCCGTTCTTCATTAACTGTGACAGTCCTTCCGTCTTCACTGTTCGAAGTGCCTCCTCCTTTCTTGTTCGTGTGCTGTTGGTCTGTCTAAGGTAATAAGATAATCTCCTTTTTTTTTTCTTTAGAAAATCTCGCTGCGTGTGAATGGATGAAAAGGTAGAGTAATGCTGCAATTGTGTTCTGTCCTGTTGGCTGCTGCTACTAACGTAACTGGGAGAAAAGGAAAGAGTGTAAATTGAAAATGAATTTCTGGTTTAGTCTTGCTATGGGAATGTGGGAATTGGTGATTTAATTTCCTTAAGTTAAGACTGATTGGTCCAATAAAGAGAAAAAAATTAGGAAGCCAGATGTTTACTTATATCTGTTAAAGAATTGTGGGAGATAGAATCAAAGAGGAAGGAGTTAGTTTGAGCTTGAAAAAAAAAAAAAATTTAAGTATTATTGCTCATGAATTTGATTTGAAGATTTTAAAGAAAATTTGAGTATGAAATTAGTATCAACTATTTGAACTTTTAGGAGATACATGGTTGTGGATAAGTTTTGTGATAAAAGATGAGAATACTAGAAACTCTTATGAGTGGGTTGGAAATAATATATGGTTGGTACTTTGACAAAGGATTAAGGGGAGATGATATTTTATTCGAATAATGAGCCAAAGGGATTATTAAGTGTAAAAGTTTAAATTTTAAATTTTCCATAGCTAAATTTTTATAGTAGTAATGTTAGGAGGAAATAATTGGATTTATAGAAAGTTAGAAGGAAAAAAAAAACAGAGAATTTTATTTTAATTTACAGGGTATTTGGAGGAGGAGAAATTGGAACGACGGTTAGAGGTGAATTTGTAAATTCCCAAAATTTCAGGTAAGTGGATAGCGTCCCAACTGATATTTCATTAAAATCTCTTTTATTCAAATATTACATTTTTCATGCAAATTCTTTTTACGACAACAATGTGATTATGAGATATTTTGTTGATTAAATTACTTATTTTGTGAAATTATTTTACCAGGATTGATCATTTTAGTTAAATGCAAGTTTGAATTCTAATTATGGGATTTCAATTTGGAAATTATTGAATTGTTACGGGAAAACGATTCATGCGAGTTTGACATTGGAAAGGAAAATTTGATTGAATGGTGATCAATTTCTCGCATGTTTGAAAATGGTTTTTACAAAGGGACTTTATATAGAACACTGGTTGCTAACGGCAGTTCCGTTAGCCCTTGGCGCGCCATGGTACACCTAGCTAGCAAGGTGTGTATAGGAGGTGCTAGCCCCGTGCGATGGCCAACGCACGTGGAATGGAGGGATGGTTATTCGTGAGCATCGTACTCACGTTTGTTTCGTGGCTTCAGCTGCGTTTAGTTATATACCTTCGTGGACTGTGTGTCCACGTTTGTCTTCGTGGCATGAGCCGCGTTTGGTTATTTACCCTCGTGGATTGTGTGTCCACGTTTGTTTATTGTTCTGATAAGTCCCTAAAATTGTGAATTGGATTATTTAGTGATTTTATATATTCTATTGGTTTTTATTTAATAAATTAATTACAAAATATTTATTTCATTTTGTGCTTTCTTGAAATTAGATGATATTAACATTTGTTATGACAGTTCAATGGTTTAAGATTTTATTTAAAAGCTTATAGAGGTATTTTATTCTGAAGTTTATTGAATTTCCATGAAAGAAGTTGTCTCTTTAATTGTATAATTATTTTGAACTTTCTTGTTTATTCATGACCAATTAATTATTGTTGGGACGTTATTCACTGGAAAACTTATTTTTGGTCTCAGATTTGTTAGCTAACGCTGATCCTACCAACGACCTCTGAAGGGCAATATAGCTACATTGGGTGGAAATTTTGTTTGGTACTGTCACTTTTTGATATAAATCTTTAAGTCGTATGTATTTTAATTTAAAAGAAAGATTAGCTGCTCCACATAGATTGTTGTTAGGATTTTATTTTGATTTACATGCTGTTGTTGGCTGGAAGGAGCTAAGCTCCTGATTGATACTATTTTCAAGAAAATTTTGTTTTAGAATTTTCAGAAGATCGTATTTACAGAGGAGGTGCTATCAAAATTTAAAAAAAAAATGTTGAAGTCTGGTTATGACAATCAATATTAAAAGTGTTAGAATTTCTATATAATTTGATTATTTTTAAAATGGAAGGAATTTTTATTTTAAGGCTTACGGGAATGCATGATGTAGTTCGCACCCGTGCCAGTCACCCTCTATTTTCGAGGCGTGACAATTTCATACATTTTTGTATATCTAAATGAGGAATTTGATTCAAATTCAAATCTAAATCTATATTAATCCATATGCACCATAAGTATTTTGTGTTGTTCCACATAATTCTAAGGAAATATACTACACACACAAACTATAAAATCTAATATATTTGTTATACTTTTCTCACCAGACTTGGAACAAGGATAAAGATCTCCAGGCTGGCCATTGATAGTATAAGCATCCGAATTATTGGGATCTTGCCCATTTGATAGAAATTCATTGTAAACCTCAGCAATATCACTCGTCCACCATTCTCCTACATTCACAACTCACACTTAATAGTCAGCACTTTTCTTATAAAAATACCTCCTGAATCATCAATACACTCCTTTCGTTTATAAATATAAGATATTTTTTTAAGGGTTCGATGTCAAAAATATACATTTCTAGTATTTTAAGGTGTAATTAATGTGTTTTTATAAAAAATGCCATTGATAAATAAATCATTTTATATTTAGCAACCCTATTAAATAAGGATAAATGTGAAAAGATAATGTTAGTTGGAAGACATTTAATTAGTACATTGAGAAGCAAAATTTGATTAAAAATATCTTATATTTTTTTAAGAGAAAAATATATACTAAAACTTGTTGGAAGCCCATTATTGTTCACAAACCACAAGGAATATATGGGTCTAGAGAGAGATCTAGCTCTACAATATATGTTTTTTTTATATGTACCTATTATAATGGGAACTTCTGCATATGGCGTTGGAAAAGGATAAGTAGTTCCTGGCTGAGGTTTAACAATGATGGCTCCATGAACTGTGTCTCGAGAATAGTCACTATGAGCATGCCACCATAAAGTGCCTTCTTCTGAAGATATGGCTTTTTGGCTAAACTTTCCACCTGGTTGAATGGGACCCTGAGTAATAAAGTCAGGACCATCAGACCATGGATATCTTGGTTGGCTTACTCCATGCCTGCATTAATTTAGTTTCATTTTTATTTTTCACAAAGCATTAATCTAGATATACATGCATACATGTCCTGAAATTTTATATATAGGGAAAATATAATTATCCTTCTTTGATTACGTTTACACTTAAATTTTTTATATGATATGATGATCATTATTTAATCACAGTTTAAAGATTAATTTATAATTAATTCCTTATAGTTTAATAACGGAGGAATGACATTGAAACACCAACAGATTGTGTAAACTTAAATAAGAACCAAAAGATTTGAACATTTGAAATAAGGATCAAAGGTGATTTAGTGAATTAGTCTAAACTCACTCATATTTCATGATTTGCAGCTATCAGAACAAACAATTTGCAACTGAGATTTGGAATTTGTAAACATAAAACTTGTCAAATATATTATTACTTGAAAATCATTTTACTTTACAAATTAACAAATCTTACTTATAAATTCATGTTTTGAAGGTTGCAAATAAGGCTATGAGAGTAGCAAACTACGGGAAGTGATAATATATACTTTGAGAGATTTTTCCTTTACATAAATTACTGAATTTCATTTACAAATTCTTGTCTTGATGCTAGTAAATCATGGAATGAGTGTGGCAAATTCTTAAACCAATTCACTAATGCTATGTTTGGACACATATTGATTTAGATTGGGATCAAGTTCCCTATTTGGATACTTAAAGATTTGTGGATTTGGATTTTATTCCAACCCAAATCCAAATTTTATCTTAATTCATTTGTTATTCCAAACCTCCTAATACATCTTCCAAACACTACCTAATAATAATAACCTTTGTTATTTAAATTGAGCCCAAACAGAGAATTTTAAATACATAGATTTAAAATGTGATATTTTAAATTAAAATTTCTAGTCTAAATATACTAATACAAACACTACCTAAAGGATTTCTTGTCCTTATTTTGGATGCCCATATCTCGTTTTTTGATAACCTAGACGAAGCCCCATTAAACTTGGGCAAGATTATTACAATCCGCTAGCAATAAAGTCTCCATCTCGGGAGATGGGAAATTAAAACGAAAAAAACCAGGATAGCTATTCAGAGCCTGCTTCGCTATATGATCTGCTATACTGCATTTCCAGATCACTTTACTCATAATAAATAAATAAATAAATAAATAAATAAACTGATCATTGTGCCTAAATTTGTAGAATAATTACAGGAAGGAAAGGTTTTACCAGTGAATGGTAATATTGTAGTTGGCTCTGTTATAGACATCAACAATGATAGTTTCCCCTTTCGTAACGTACAAGGTAGGCCCTGGAAATTGATCATTCACAGTTAATATGTTCTTCCTGCTGCACAGTCTTGTGTAGGCTGCGTTTTTTTATCTTCAATTCAATTCATTAATCATACAGTTATATCTTTTCTTTCCTCAAAACAAAAAGATTATATAATATTATTTACTTCTCCACTAATAACAGAATACATTCATATTATTCTATATCAATTAATGCTTTTATATCTATTATTTATATTATGTAATAAGTAAACATTATATATTTGATCACCTTATTCTGTTTCCTGTTAATTGATCACCTCAACATAGGGATTAACAGCGTTAGTTACATGTTAGCATATTTAACATTGTTAGTATCATCTCATCATATTTTTTGGGAGATATTCAAAAATAGAAACATTAATATTGCAAACGGGATAAACAGAGGAACCTGAAACAACCAAAAAATAAATAAATAATAGTAGAACCTATACCAAAATTTGTTAGAATTTCAGGGACCAATAATGTTTTCTAAAAAAAAATTAGCGAAGAGTGGGAAGAAAGTATACCACAAAAGTATGACGCCTTAAAGCTTCACAAACGAAGAGAACATTGATGAGCAGAAGCACTAAGATCACTGCAGTTTTCATACTGGCAAATTTTCTCAGAAATATGGACCCATTATATGAATATGAATGCATGATCAATATTTAATATTTATTATGAGTGCCTATGAGATTTTTCACTTTGATGAAAATACAAGATGTGATGCATGTATTTATAGTGAGACTTGCGTCGGAATTGTGTATTCTTTCTTGTCCTCCTCTTGTTCACCAATCTTCAAAGGGAAAGTGATATTTGAGAATTTTTTAAAAGAATATTTTATAGTTAAGGACCATGAATTTTGGAAATTTTAAAGGCGGACCAAATTTTTTTTTTAATACTCATGTTCAATATTTTTAGAACTTAAAAAAAAATTAATGATAATTGTTGTAAACATTAAAGCTAAGATAAACATTAGAAAAAAAAATCGAGATTGAATACTAAAAAAATTGATTAGATGAGAGTTGAAAATATTAAAGATGAATATTGAAATGATATAAAGTAGAGGAAAAAATAATGAAATGAACGGTGGGAAAATTACATGAAAAAAAAATCATAATCATCAAGGACTTTGGTGTTTTTTAAGATTTCATAAATGTATAGTCTCTAACTGTAATTGTCATTATCCAATTGAAGATAAAGACACGTTTTTCACTTTGTCACGATCTTTATAGTGAAGGAAGCTTCATGGAAGTGGAGAAAGCGAAAGCCTTTTCGTGACCTTTTTCATTTTCTCATATTCAACCAATAGAAATGAGACCTTTTATAAAACAATAACAAACATATCCACTTATTAATTAAAATCAATATTTTTAAAATTGGATCAGTCTTTAAATTGATAATTAATACGATATTCAAATTATTTGCAAGGTGTAATAAAATTATTAGTAATTGAATAACTATATTTAATCAATCAATAGATAGTATAAAAATTTAACAAATCGTATTATTAATAATTTTTAAACAATATAACTCATTTTTTAACTGAAATGCTTTCATTCGCAAAGAAAAAGTTACAAATTAATCGATTTTACGTAATGTTGCTTAATCCATCGATTTTCTTGGTTTTTTTTTTTATCAATTTTTAACTAAATCAGCTTCGCAAGCATTTTAGGTCTAACCATGCATATATGTTTGGTTTAGATGGGTTGTCACCAATCGAACAGACTAATCAATCAAGTTCAGTTAACAATAATGATTAAAATTGATTGTGCTATTAAACAAAATAAATAGCCAAAAAAAATTGAGAGTAATTTGTTTAATATATTCGGATTTAGTTTTATTGCAACAATATTTATTTGTTTCAGACTTTAAATTTTCACAAAAATGGCTGTATTAATGTTTCACCCTATATTTATCAATAAAACGTGTGTTTATGAAGTCAAAGTTTATTGCTTGTCGGGGACTGAAGTTGTATTTCTCTGAAATAAAATACCTTCATTTAGGTCACATTCAATTAATTTTTATTGTAAATATTGTTTGGCTAGCAATAGCTTTCCTTTTTTTTTTTTTTGGCCTGAAGCTAGCAGTAGCTTTCGTGTTATGAACCTTGGAAAAATAAATTCTACTTTCATATCTGGCACATGTGCAAAATTAGGGCCGCGAATGGTTGTATGTCAATAAGATGAAACTCTATTTAATGATGCTCCTAAAGCAATCATCAAATATTTTCCCTGTTCAAAATCTGTTTACAACTAAATCAATCATCTACGAATACTTGCTGGATTGTTTATTGGTACACAATATCAAATATAAATTTAAATATCAATTACTTTTTTTGTAACCCATTAAATCTTCACAAAAAAGGATTGTAGTTTTTGTTTTGATAAAAGTTTTATAAAAGTAGGTAGATATAATATTAAAATTTGTATCGGGTCTTTTGTGCTCTTAGAGAAATAACATTTCTCTCCAATTGATAAAATATTCTCAATTTTTGAATTATTTTGTACATTTTAGCATCAAACACATATTTAACTTATTAATTTACATAAAATAAATGATTTTGCGTGAAATGTGTATCAAATATAGTAAATTATATCTGACAAATAAAATCGTATATCTACTCAAGATTTTGTCTGCATAAATGATATTTTGTATTACATTTTGTTTGAAATAATCATTTTCTACCCACCATTTTTGTGGTAATATATACTTGTGGCAAACATATATACATATATTT